CTCAAGCCAGAGAACAAGCCTTCACGAAGGTTAACAATGAAGTTAAACCTGAAGTTGCAACTGATGGAATGTATGAAGATCTTGAAGAGCGACCGCTGCGTAAAGAGAACTTTCCGCATCAGACAGCAAAGATCGGACCAACTGAAATGCCCTCATCGGAGAAAGTTTTTCAACAAACTCCTATTTCGGCGTTCCACTCGAAAAGAGCCAATCGCGTTCCAGTGAGACTACAACCATTCTCACTCCTAAGTAGCGGAGACTCCACTTCATCGCCATGTCTGGCATTTGAAGGACTCGTTCCCAATTCTAAATATGAAATGACACAACAACCTATTAACCGTGAGATGAGACCACCATTAAGTGACTATAGAAATTTGGGAAGGTCGGGTTCCGGCAATGACCCCTGCTGCAGCTATTCGAAAGGCAGAATCATTTGACGGAGATGCTATCTGAACAGCACCAACAAAGCACCTTACCTTCACTTTCCTGGTCGAGTTTTAAAGGCGATCCGACGGAATATCACCTATTTATATGTAGATTCGAGATGCGAATCGAAAGAAACATTCGATCAAGCGATATTCGTATTCGTATGCAATATTTGGAACAATATTTGGAAGGAGAGCCGAAGGAGTTGATTAAGGGATGTCACCATATGGAAGCTAATGCGGGCTACGCTGAATCTAAGAGGTTGCTGAAAGAGAAGTATGGTGATCCATACAAAGTTTCAAATGCATATTTGAAGAGAATGACCGATTGGCCCATTCTAAGGTCTGGAGATGACAACGCCCTGGAGAGATTTGCAACGTTCCTGACACAATGCCTGAGCGCAATGGAATCGTTATCTTATCTCAGTATTTTGGACCATCCACAAAACCTGCAGTGTTTAGTGAGAAAATTGCCCTTCTATTTACAAGGACGATGGCGTAGAGAAGTGACTAAGATAAGAGAAAATGATAAGATCCCTATGTTCAAACACGTCGCCACTTTCGTTAAAGCAGAAGCAAAGATAGCAACTGATCCCGTCTTTTCCCGGCAAGCGCTCGATAAAATTGGTCAAGATGATAAGGGTAAAGCCAAGAAAATCCTGCCCTTTAAGTTAACAAGCAACACAACCGTGATGAATGAAAAATCAGGTCGTCCGTGCATTCTTTGTAATGCCTCGCACGATCTAGACGAGTGTAAAGTTTATTTAAAGAAACCACTATCTGAAAGAAGAACCCTAATTGCTAAAAGAGGACTATGTTTTGCCTGTTATAGACCCGGACACAGATCAAGAGGATGTATCCAGAGACGAATCTGCAAGACTTGTTCAGGTTGGCATCCTACGGGGCTGCACGATGAAAACTTTCGACCGAAGAGTAAAACAACTGAGGAAACCAAGAAGAATGAGGACACCACCCCAAAAGGAAACCCTGATGAGGACAATCCTGCTGATTCTGCGAAGAACTGTGCATTTGCCGTCGCTGATGAAGTTGCCTGTGATGCGAGCAAGATAGAATTTTCGGTTGAATCTATGCCTATCGTTCCTGTTCGGCTAAAGAGTAACAACAAAGAAATAATCACCTATGCCATGCTTGATTCTTGCAGCACGGGTACCTTCATCACAGAAGAGGCGCTCAAACGACTTGATGGGAACGGAACGAACACAAGAGTAATGATTCGAACTATGAATGGACCAAGAATGCACGATACCAAGGTAGTAACCGGTCTAGTAGTATCTGATTTGAATGGTGCAAATACTATCACCCTCCCGAAAGTCTTTACCAGAGACGAAATTCCTGGAACCAAGAATGAAATACCACGTCCAGAATTATACAGTAAATGGAAACATCTGGAACGTGTATCGGAGCAGGTTCCCCCGTATTTGGCAGATGTTAGGATTGGTCTTCTTATAGGAACGAACTGTCCCAAGGCTATTGAACCGAGAGATTTCGTCGCTAGTAGTAACGGAGGTCCCTTCGTGATGCTGACCTTCGCTGGTTGGACCATAGTTGGACCACTCTACATGTCTAATGATGACCACTCAGTAGACTGTCACAGAATAATCGTCCAAGAGGTTGGATCAAACAAGCCGTCAGAGCACCATTTCATGGTTGAAGAATCCGTCAAAGAGTTGGTGACGCCCGAAGCATTAAATAAAATGTTCGAGCTAGATTTTAATGAGCGACACTCCCAAAAGGATCAGTATTCTCAGGAAGATAAAAGGTTCATGGAGAAGATGGATCGTGAGACGAAGTATGTGGATGGACATTATGTGATGCCACTGCCCTTCAGGAATGATGATGTTCATATGCCAATGAATAAACAACAAGCCATCGTTAGAGCCTACTGGTTAGAAAAAAAGCTATCTAAGAACAGTAACTTTCATCGAGATTATGTTAAGTTCATGAACGATATCCTTGGAAAGGGGTATGCTCGTAAAGTATCCGATGACTGTCCAGAAGGAAAACCAGGAAAGATTTGGTATCTACCCCATCATGGAGTGTACCACGCAAAAAAGCCTGATAAAATTTGTGTGGTGTTTGACTGCAGCGCTCGCTTCCAAGGAACATCGCTGAATGATCAGTTAATGCAAGGCCCGGATCTGACAAATTCTTTACTCGGCGTCCTCATGAGATTTCGAGAAGACGAAGCAGCATTTATGGCTGATATTGAGAGTATGTTTCATCAGGTTCGTGTCCAGGAAGAACATTGAAGCTTTCTCCGTTTTCTTTGGTGGCCAAATGGTGACCTGTCACAAGATCTGCAAGAATATCAAATGAACGTACACTTGTTTGGGGCAATCTCCTCACCGAGCTGTTCAAATTACGCGCTCAGGAAGACAGCAGATGATTTCGAAGAAAAAGAAAGCGCTGAAGTTGCAAATGTCCTCAGGAAGAACTTCTACGTGGACGATTGTTTAAGATCGGAAAAAAGCGAAGAGTTGGCAACCGACACAATTAACGGCGTGACTCGGATGTGCACCCGTGGAGGCTTTCGTCTGACTAAATTTACGAGTAACAAACATTGCGTTCTGGAAGCAATACCTGAAGAGGAACGATCTAAAGAGCTTAAGTGCCTGGATCTAAATTGTGACCGTTTGCCAATAGAACGAGCTCTTGGTGTACAATGGTTCGTGGAATCAGATGAATTAGGATTTAAGATCATCCTGAAGGACAAACCGCTGACTCGTCGAGGCATCTTAGCTACCATTAGTTCGATCTATGATCCAATTGGAATGGCTGCCCCGATCCTCCTGTCCGGCAAAAAGAATCCTCCAGGACCTTTGTCGAGAAAAACTCACTTGGGACGACGATCTCCCACAAGAATACCGTGCTCGATGGGAAAAATGGAGAACTGAATTGCCCGCGTTGGAACAGTTTGTTTTGGCCCGGTGCCTCAAGCCTTCGAATTTTGGAACTCCAGTGATTAAACAGATTCACAGCTTCTCCGACGCTAGTCTGATGGTTTAGGCCAAGTTTCGTATCTAAGGCAAGTTAACGATAAAGGAGATATCCACTGTGCCTTTTTGATGGGCAAGGCTCGTCTTACCCCTCTAAAAGCTATAACCATACCACGTTTGGAGCTTACTGCCGCCCTGTTATCTGCAAAAGTTGGAACCCTCCTTAAAATTGAATTGGGATTATCGGATAAAGAAACCTATTGGACGGACAACACAACCGTTATAAAGTACATCTATAACGACCAAGCCCGTTTCCATACGTTCGTAGCCAACCGAGTTCAAGCTATAAGAGATAGAAGTGATCCAAGCTAATGGAGGTATGTCGACAGTAAAGACAACCCGGCTGATGAAGCTTCGCGTGGCATGAAAATCAACACCTTTCTTGAACAACAGCGCTGGATAAGAGGACCGGAATTCTTATGGAAACCGGAAATTGAGTGGCCTAAATTCCCCGAAACCATCAAAGAAATTTCCCACTGTGATGAAGAGATTAAAATTGTACAATCCACGATAGTCGGTCAGAAGGACATATTAAAGCGTTTAGAATATTTTTCTCAGTGGCATTCTGTGAGAAAAATCGTCGCGTGGATCCTACGCTTGATGAAGCCAAAATGCAAACGACTAATTCCAGAGTCCAAAGGTAATATCAAGAAAAGTCTGGAATCCAAACCTAAGCCCATTACAGTCGATGAAATAGAGAAGGCCGAAGCTGTAATCCTGAAACTTACCCAAAAGGATGCTTTCCTCAACGAGATCGTTGCCTTGAAAGAAGTATTGGCAGAGAATCACACCGATAATAGAGCAAAGAAAAGAAGTGAAAATTTGAAGATCAAGAAGACCAGCTCCTTGTTTCGACTAGATCCATATATCGATGAACACGGTCTGTTACGTGTGGGTGGCAGGCTGAGCAAATCAACGGAACTGTCAGATGATGCTAAGCACCCGGTGATTTAACCAAAGAAAAGCCATGTTACTACACTCGTTATCCGTCATTGTCATGAGAAGGTCGCGCATGCGGGACGAGGTATTACTTTGAATGAGCTAAGAAGTAAATATTGGGTAATAAATGCAAACTCGAGAGTAAGACATTATATATCCAAGTGCGTTGGATGCAGGAGATTACGGGCTGCGGTTTCTCAGCAAAAGATGGCCGATTTACCGGCGGATCGAGTTACACAAGCACCACCGTTTACTTACTGTGCTGTGGACTATTTTGGTCCCTATTACATTAAAGAGGGACGTAAGCAGTCAAAAAGATATGGCGTACTTTTCACATGTCTGGCCAGTAGAGCGATTCACCTAGAAACGGCATCTTCCCTAGACAGCGATTCGTTTATATGTGCTCTAAGACGATTTGTCGCAAGGAGGGGTCCTGTACGTCAGATGAGGTCAGATCGAGGAACTAATTTTACTGGAGCCGAAAAGGAACTTAAATTAGCGTTAGAAAAAATGGATCATAAAGGATTACAAGAAGTTTCTTCGAGGGAATTTAACGCAGACTGGTTGATCAAGTGGAAATGGAATCCACCAGCCGCTTCCTACATGGGCGGGGTATGGG